GGCAGGGCCTTCATCGAGGCGGTGCATACCTCGTTGCCGAGGTCGTCGGCGGCTGTGATGACCCTAAGAGAGCCCAGGGTCGCATCGATTCAGATGCCGGCGTCAGAACGGACAGGGAATTCCATCACCTTCGCGAAGGCCCTGCAGTGGAGATGGAGGCGAGCATCATGGACGGTCGCGACTGGCGATGCGGCGCCGTCTCCGACGGACTGCCGTGAAAGCACCGGCAATAGGAATTCGAATTTGTAGGGGAAAAGATTTTATGGGGGCATTTGATGTTCGTTGGTAGCATCTGCTTGGGGAAGACCATCAGGAAAGAGACGACGAAGTTGTAGTCGGGTTTCCCCTCTCGGTGGTCTACTGGATCTATCTCCATAGCCACAAGACGAAAACGCAGTTGGAGGAGATGCGGGATTAAATTTTTGTTCATTTTTTAAAATAATATAAAAACTAAATAAAAATAATTTTATTAAAAGATAGAATTTATATATTTTTCAAACATTTCAAAAAAATAAAATAATATAAAAACTGAATACAATAAATAAATACAAATCATATATATATATATATATATTTGAATACAAAATATTTTATTTACAAATTAATACTTTAATAATATATATAGAAGTATCATTTTATTTTTATTATAAATAAATAAATTTAATTTAATTTAGTTTAATTTTATTTATATATATTATATTATTTCAATTAAAAAATGTATATTTAAATTTTATATTTATATTTTAATTTATTTAAATGGAATATTATTTTATTTTTTATTAAATAGTAATATATTTATTTATTATTTTTAAATTTTACATTTAATTTCATTTAATTTATTTTTTATTTTATTTTTTATTTTAATTATACTTTTTTTTATAATTACTTTAGTTTTAGATATTTAAATGGCTGATTTTTCAGTATTTTCAGGGGTAAAACAGTAATTTCAGCAATTTAATTCATGTATTAAGGGGTAAAATAGTCATTTCCTTGAGTTTATGGTGAAAAAATGGAGAAACAGCCGCACTACACGCGCGTGAAATGCACATCCGTCAAATTAGACGGTTTAGGAGGTAACACGCAATCAAAAGTATAATACAAGGGATATAGCGCAATACAGAGGAATCGGAAATTTCGTATAATACAGTGGCGCAATTTACCCATCCTTAAACCTTAGCTCGTAAAACCCAGCAAGCAGCTTTGGTACCGGCAACGTACCAACTCCGATGAGCACCCTCACCTCCTCCGCCGTCCTCCTCCCGCCACCACAATTCCGCCGCCGGCGAGCCACCTGCCCTAAAACCACCTTATTTATTCCATTCTCTCCTATCTCTCTCCAAACACGGCGAGGGCTCACTCTCCCCCCAATCTCAGCCTCTCTCAAGGTACGTTTTTTACAAGCCACTTTATCGGGTACTATTTTTCTTCATAAAAAAGTTGTAGTCCTTTCATGGTGGGGTTAGGAGAATCACTAATTTACTTCTTGTCATTTCGAGCATGCTGTTATGAGGAAAAAGTTGTAATCTTTGCAGGAAAAAATTGGTGGCTTTAAGAAATCGTGGACCGACTTAACCAGTTTGAACCACTGGGTGGTCAGAGATTATTACAGACTCGTAAAATCAGTGAATGAGTTGGAGCCCTACATTCAAAA